GAAGGGAAATTTATTCCTTCAATGATTTTCATAAATGCAAGAATGACAAGTGGGACGAACGTCAATCATTCTTGGAAACCCGCGAAGGGAAATCTTTGTCACAACTGGTTACATGAATGACGACATTCTTTTGAGCTTGTTTCACCCAAACGAATTCCTGAGTGGATCGTCAGCAAGCAATGTGAGTAAATATCGGGGCGACAAGTCTTCCCACAAAGCTTCAAAAAGCCCTGCAATATGCGCAAAATGTTGAAAAAAAGTTATTCTGAAAATCCATCAACTGCTGAAATAATGAAATAAATTCATACTGTGGTACTGTACATTTATTCGGACATTTAAGAGAAAAGGCAATATCAACTTCATAGAAACCACTTCTATTTCAAAGCAGAATGCTGTGAACTAAAATGTTGTTGTTGCTCAATCGTGAAATGTTATCGAGAATCATTTCATTTAAACTGAACAAAGATTATAATTTTCTTTCCTAAACTTCTAGATTCGAATCTCAATTGCCGAAGTCAATCGTTTTGTGATTGGGAAGGTTTTCAGTCTCGAATTTCCTTGCTTCTTGGCATTCTGATGACTGCTTCGGACCTTCGAAAACTCAAACCATCCTACCTCGAATTTTTAGTTATTTTTGTCAAAATTATTTCGCAAACAAGAGTAGTCTCGCTACTAGCTCTCGATTTTCTCAATTCAAATTTCACAAGGTTCACAAGCTATTATTCTAGGTCTAAAACTTGGGACTAAGAAAATTTAGGAGACATAAAATTTTAACTTGATTCCTTATAAAAAAGTCAGTGGCTAAATAAGAAAAAAACGCTTGCTTCGAAGTTCAGCATTTTGTTGACTTGTTGACTTATTCAACCATCACTTTTAGTCCCAAAACATGACCATTTCTTTCTGGAAAATTTTTATGCTCTTGATTTAAAAAAAATGCAACTTTACCTAACTAAAAAAGCTCGTTAGATCGATTTTGTAGGTCCTTGAGAAGTTCGAAAATATTCCGGCAATTATAGACGACACCCTTGTATAGCATACATAATACAGTAAAAGTACTGTAGACATGATCACGATGTCGGGGATATCTTCGACACAACTTGCATCGTGACGAAAGACCCACACTTTTTTTTTTTAGATTTGCAATAAAACGTACAATGCATGAAAGTAAAAGAGCAAAACATTTTCTATGACCAAACGAGCTGGAGCTGTGACACAGATTCAGGCGACACCTGCTTGACATGAAAACATTCAGGTTTCAGAGGTTATCCTGTCCGGCATAAGTACTGTACATACTGTGCGAAGTCTTCAACGTGAACTGCTGCCAAAACTAGAAAAATAAAATAAAATAAAAAAGCAGCCAGTCCTTTCCCGATTCGCATGAAAACTCCCGTCAATATCCCCAGGATCCAAGAAAATTCTCCGCAATAAACTTCATGGAAATTCCGAATTTCCTGCGATGTCGATCCGCGTGCCATGGCGTCATTACCACCCAATGGGGGAGAAGGTAAAAAAAAAGAATATATATACATATATATATATATACTAGGCAAAGAACACAGTATTTCTAGACAGAAAGAAAGAGCAAAAAGCGATGCGTGCCATGCTGTCGCAGATGAGGTTACTACGCGTATTGACGCCCGAGGGAACTCTAGGACACAAAAAGGGGGGGACCACGCCTGGTGCAACTTGCACACACATGCACAGACTCGGAAAATAAAAAGGCAAGTCCACGAATAAAACACGAGTCTTGTTCTTCTTGCTTCAGATTCCCAGGTATTTGCAAAAATGTCCGACTAAAAAGACTTCGGGATCCTCAGCAAAAAAGCAAGACAGAAAAATATCGACACATTTCTCGGATCCCAAAAAACTGAGCATACCGTGAGTTTTCAATAAGATATCTTCGAGAGAAGAATAATACAGTACCTAAACTAATCAAACCTGATTTCATCAGCCCTTCTGACTCGCGAAGATTCAAAAATTCTCAATTCAACATCCTCGCAAAAGTCCCCAAGTAATTATAGGGGACTGTAGTTCTTAAGGTCTTACATGTCTCGAGTTATGGACGCAGTAAACCTCAACAACTTTCATTTCCTTTGATTCTGGAGTCCATAACATTCCCCTTTCATGCAAAAAATGCCGTCGTTGAACCACTTTTCCGCATTCAGCTGCATTTAATTCTAATCCTTTCTCACATATATTTTTTTTTGGAGTGCCGAAGCTCAAAGATATCACAGAGCATAGCGTGAAAATCCCCTCGATCTACACAGAAACGCAATGAGAAAGCTTTTAAAATCAAGATGAGTTGAAATGACTCGTGATACTTCAGGACCACTTTAATCTGGAGTCCAAAAGAAATCGTTTCACTCAAGCTAAAAGCACTGAAAACACTTGACATAATGGACCGTCATCATTCCGAAGGTAAAGTAATGATTATGGCGGAGGCGGACGAAAAACTTTACAAAATGGAGGCATTCAATAAAAATTTCTCAAAAATTGTATAAAAAGACACTATTACGGTAGAATAATGTGGAGAAAAATCTATGCAACTCACCTTCAGACCTTCAGTTTGATATTCATCAGGTTAGTATTAATCAGCCATGATTTAAACAACAACAAAAAAGTTGGTCATTCAAATTCGTATTGGAACGGATTGGGTTTATTAACCGAGGCATTTCTCTGCGGCGGAAATCCCCGAAAAAATTCACGAAATAAGAATTGAACACAATTTTCTCAAAAGTTTGCAAAAGAAGGCATCATCCGCTGATGGGCTAATGCTGGAAAAAGTCGAACCACCTCAACATCAATTTGACAATCATCAGGCCACTAAATTATTATTAATCAATCCTGCTTAAAACCAAAAATAAAATAGCTTCAAGGCATCTGACTTCTCATTGGAATGGATTATGAGTTCATTAACCGAGACATTTCTCTGTGGCGGAGATCCGCGAAAAGTTTATAAAATGCCACGATTCAAAGCAAATTTCTTAAAAATCGTGGAAGAAGACATCATCCAGGTGTAGTCATGTTGACAAAAGTCGAACCATCTAAAAAGCACACATTCTTCAGTGTGACCGTCATTAAGCGAGTTTTAACTATCATGATTAAGGCATTTACATAATTACATTCAAATTGGACCGAATTAAGTTCATTGATCGAGGCATTCCTATGTAAAAACAGAAAAAACGCAAACAAAAAAGCATACAAAGGATTATACTAGAACTTTCGAAAAACCCAAAGTCATATCTCTCTCGGGAAACAACTTCCGGCAGGACAAGCGAGGAAACTCGAACCCAGCGAATATCGCTGGGCACCTGCATATTCATTAAACGTGCATCCATGAACCAGGATACAAAGAGAAAACCCCCCAGCAGGGGAACAACTCGAGAGTAGCCAAATAACCCCCAGCGAAAATGATATCAAAAGCATTCGTCTCCATTAGGGAACGACAACCAACACGGAAACGAAATCAAGGTGAAAGCTTTGCAAAAATGGGAGCTCAAGCAGTAGGTAACTTTCCAGATCTTCCATAAATAGATCCGCGATCATTCGAAAGAGATTATCTTTTTCCCCGAATAAATAAATAAAGGAATAATTTACAAAACAAAAAATAAAAAACGAACGGAAGAGAGAATCAGTCCACGTTTATTTTCAGTAATTTCTTCAAATAAAGTCAGTGCAAAGATTGTCATCTTTCAACCTTTTAAAATCGACATTTCCCCTCCAGGAAAAAAAATTAAAATCTTATCGATATTGGCGTGAGAACGAAACTAATTAGCCAACGTTTTCTCTCTCACGTTTTTAACGGCGCATCCGTAATATCTTTTGTCTCCCAATTTTCAGTACGGCATTTCAATTTGATGCGTACATCAAACGAACACCGATGGTAACATGTACGGTTGTACGGAACCCTTTTCCGATTTTTAAACTAGCTACATTCGCAACGAAAAAGCTTTTCAATCACTGTTCCTACCGTAATTCCAAAATAAATTAAGATTTCGTATTCGGGGTACAAAAGCAGCCAAAAATTTATACTGTACGTAATCCCGAAAGAGAAATGATAAAATACCGTATCAGCTAGTAAAATTAAAGAAAAACATAGTCATAGGTAATCTTAAAACCAAATTCAAATGCGCCAAGCGGATAAGTATGAATATTGATTCCGCCATTATTTCTAGCTTCTCATGACTAAACCCGAGATAAAATCAAATAAATCGTAGCAATATTTATGCATTAATATTCTTTCATGCCCTCATATTTTTGTGCGGCCCGTAATTTACCGTCATCGAAACTCATAGTTGTTGCATGCGGGATCTTCCACGCATTCGATCACACTTTACTCAATTGATTGACCATGAGAACTGTCATCGATTAAAAAGTCTAAGAAATAATCTTCAATTATTCTTCAGAATCGGGAAATACCAGTACTATATCTTTAAACTCGAGAATGATCGATTACGTTACACGATTAATTATCACTCACGTAACGCAACTCACTCAGAAGCAACGAGCGAAAAAATTATTCGCCAAAATCGTTTAACGAAACGTTCTGTCAGCTTTAGTTTTTACACTAAAAAAGCAGATTTTACACAAGAAAGATGCTACATCAATTTTCGGTATCTCGAGCTGTTCCAGATCGACCAAGAGACATTTCACCGAGACATTTTCAACAGGACAATACACAAGATTTATTTTCGGGGAGCCCAAAAAGTGATCCATCAAAATTTTTCTGGAGAGAAACCAAGAGGTCTTAACGAGGCGTAAAGCTTCTCCACAGCAAGAGCCTATACAACACTTGAAATGATTTTTTTAAAAATTTCCTTCGAAAAGAATTCCTTCAAAAAATGCCAGACGCAGTTGGAACATCAACTAAGCTCACTAACGAATGTTCACATCCAAAAACACTCCTTTTCCTTACACGCACTTTTTTTTGGACAAGACTTTTCGAAGAACCCGTTTCAATTTTTTCGTAATGCGATCGTGCTGGCAATAATGACAGATGTAATGGGCGAAAACATTATGCATCCAGATCGATGGGATCGAAGGCAACATACGCAATACGAAACCAGAACTGTAAGCGGCAACAATAATCGCACAAGTATCGCTTTCCTTCTATTGTCCACAGAATAACGTACAGTACTGTACATTACAATCATTAGCACACGAAATTCTGATCTGATGAATCACACAGCGTGATTGGAACTCTAATGTTCAAAATTAATTGAATGGAGCAAAAGTCTATATAAAAGCATTCAACAACGTCCTGCAACTACTGAGCTCATACATAATAGCGTGAAGATTAAAAATTATCCACAACGTCCGCACAGTATAAAATTTAAAAAAA